CCCATCCTGTGCGAGCCGTGCCTCGGCCCCAATCCATACATCCGCATGACCAAGGACACGCAAGGAAAGATTTGCAAGGTATGTCCCCCACACCTCCTCCTCACTTTTCTCTCTTCTGCTCCGGAATACTGACAAGTTGCTCGTCGATTTGCAGATCTGCACACGGCCATTCACAGTGTTCCGATGGAACCCGGGCGCAGGCTCCCGCTTCAAGAAGACCGAGATCTGCACAACGTGCGCCAAGGTCAAGAACGTGTGTCAGACGTGTATCTTGGACCTTCAGTATGGCTTACCCGTGCAGATGCGCGATGCAGCGCTCAACATCAAGTCGACGGGCCCGACGTCCGACAAGAACCGCGAGTACTATGCCGAAAACATGGACAAGCAGCTCGAGGGCGCAACATCGCTCGTCGGCGCCTCGTCGAGTCCGGCGGGCAGGGCGGGGCAGGAACTGCTCAAGAAGATGGCAAGAAAGGAGCCAGAGTACAAGCGTGATCGGCCCGTGCAGTTCTGCGCTGCCTTTGCGAGGGGCAATTGCCCGCGTGGAGACAAGTGTCCCTTCCGCCACGAATTACCCTCTGAAGACACTCTTGCGTCCGCAGCTCCCGCCACCGCTGCAACTCAACCCGCACCAGCAAGCCCATCCGCAACAGGGACACCCAAACGCATCCTCAGCTCAAGCACAGCTGCGGGACTGCCGCCACCGGCAGATACCAGCATCGTAAGTCTCCTCCCATTTCTTCTGTCCTTCTTATGATATCGCATGCTGACGCTTGGACGCTCTCGGGACTACACCAGGTATCGCTATTCATATCCTCACTGCCGGCAGATACCACCCAGGACTCGCTACGCAGCTGGATGACGGCGCTCGCACCAGAGCTGCGTACCGAACACATCAAGTCGATCACTCTCGTCACTGCCTCGCGCTGCGCATTCGTCAACTTCACCTCGCGCCAAAACGCCGAACGCGCAGCAGCACATTGCAGTCCAAAGATGGACTGGGACAATACCACCGTGCGCATCACTTGGGGCAGGTCTCGCCCCACCAAAAAGTAACACACCCTTCGCCTCCGCTCTCTGTACTTCTGGTCTCAATTCAAAAACGCACTTGTCGCCGCCACCGTCGTCTAAAATGCATTGCGGTTGCTCCGCTGCAACAGATACACCTCGTCTCGCTGGCCGCTAGATCTGGACAGGCCTGTAGTAGACCGTCGTGACGTACTTTCTCTTGTACCTGGTCGTGGTGCCTACCGCCAGCACTCCGCCCTTGATGCTGCTGGCCGTCAGATGGTTGAGCACCACATGGTTCGGCGCTGGCAAGATGGAATTGTCGTCCACCGTGCTTCCCGTGGTGGAACTTCCGTTGCTCGGATTCGCAGGCGACGAATTCAGGATGACCTTCTCCAGCTGCCGAGGCAAGGCTGGTGGCTGGGGCAACTGAGCCGCTCCACCGTCTCGTTGGCCCTTGGCTGCCTGGCCGCTCTCCTCTGCCTCGCGCTGCGCCTCCTCTGCCTCCTGAGCCTCGATCAGCGCTGTCGGGATCTCCGACGTCCACGTCTCCTCCTGCTGCTTCGATTCGTCTTCAAAGAGGTCGTCCAGACGCATCGCTTCCGCGCGCCTCGCCTCCTCGACCAGATTCATCGTCGTCTTCTTGGAATCGATCTTGGAGTTGCGTTCGCTTCGGTTGCCCTCCTCGGCTCCAGGCAGGTCCTCGCCGGGAGCACTCAGCGGCCCGGGATGAGCAGGCCCGACGTTCGGAATCTCGACATAGTTGACCAGATTGCCATCGCCGTCCGTTGCAGTCGGCAGGTCACGCGAGACACGCCATCGGTCGTCCACGATGAACTTGAGACGATGCGTGCCCGGGGGTAGATGCAGCACGCACGTGTGGTCGCGCTTCGACTTGTGCAGGAGAATCTTGGATCGCCACTCGTTGGCGAACGTGCCCGTCACAAACACCTCGCGCCCGCCCGCTCGCCACGTCAACACGATCGGCATCAACGGCGTCTGGTGCTGCGTCGCAGACGCGTGCGAAGCGTGTGCGTGTTGGTCATTTGTGTGGCCGCCTTGTGTCTTGGCACTGATGGGAGTCGAAGGCTGGCTCGAAGTGCTGGTGAAACCGGCGACGGTGGGCGTGCGCGGGCCGTCAGTGGCAACGACATTTTCTCGCTTCTGGGAGGGCGAGGCCGCCGTGGTCTGGGTCAGAGGCGTCACGCCCGGAACCGAGGCACTAGGAGGAGCCGACGTTAAGCCCGGTGGCAGGAGCGGCGTGTTGTACCCGCTCTCGCTACCGGTCTGCACATCGACATGCGAGCGCTTGGTGGAGATTGGTTGAGAAGGTGGGCCGATGGAGGTCGACGGGCCAGATGCTGGCGAGAGGGAGCGGAGGCCGCCGGCAGTTCTGTTTCCGGTGGGCGTAAGGGTTCTCGGTCCGTGGCCATGAGGTTTGGGTGTGGGAGTGCGAGACGTACCGTCGGCAGAGGTGTGAGATGTGTCCGCGGATCGTTCAAGCGCTCGTGGTTGTCGCTCGTTGTCGTCGCCCGCTGCTGCTGAGCCAGACTCTGCATCCGCATCTGCGACTGCGGATTCGTCATCACGCTGTAATGGGCTAGTCGGCAAGTCGGTCACATCGATGCCTGCCGCACGTGCTTCTTCGACGCTGATCTCGGACGACACGTGCTCCTCCTTGCTCGCGATCTCGTTTCGCTGGCCAAAGAAAGCGCCGCGTCCTTCAATGGGCGAGCTTGCCTTGCTAGCGATTCCGGGCGGGATGACGACATCCTCAGTGTTGAGCACAGCTGCTGCTGTAGCTGCTCCACCGACGACATGGGAGGGCAAGATATCGTCCACGGGTACCTGTAAAGATGGCGACTGCGAGCGCTGGCGATGGCGGTCCGATGACGAGTGCATGTGATCGGAGTGCTGTGAGTAGATGCTGGCCGGAGGAGAGTTGGGCGAGACGTGCGAGCTGGGGATGGCGGTTGGAATCTTGAGATAAGAGGGGAGTGCCGCAGAAGGTCGTCCCGTAGGCTCGCCATCGTCGCCTGCATCGGCGAGATTCAAGGGCTGGGAGGAGAGAACGGGACTCGAGCCTCCGATGGGAGGAGATGTTGCGGGATTGGTGCCCAAGCTGGTGCCGACGTTGGGGAAAAGGCTGGTGCCACCCAAACCAAAGAGCGGATGGCGTGTGGGCGCGCGTGCTGTGGTTCCGGGAACCTGTTGCGGTTCCGAGCCCTTGGAGATCATGGCGGGAACGGCAGAGACCTCGCTGCCTGTTGAAGACACGCGCAAGCCACTCGAGACACCGACGGAGGCATGATGACTGGGCAAGCCAGCGGCATAGTGGGCGTGAGTCGCGACGGAAGGGCTTGGGTAGGGCGATACGAAGCTGTGCGGGTCGAAGCCTCCGGGGGATGGTGGAAGGTTGAGACCCTCGGTAAGACGGCGGGTGCGTGGATTGGAACGAATGGCGGTCTCGATGCTCGAGCCATCGGATGGGTTGGAGATCTGGTAGGCTGCAAAGTTGTTGGATTGGTCCCTGGCGAGCGGCGAGGAGGCGGATGGTGAGCGAGCGGATGCGGAGCCCGCGGCGGCGGCGGCAGCAGCAGCAGCGGCAGCGGCCGGCGCATCTGGCGCGATCATCGCAGCGGTTGCAGAACCTCTTCGTTGTCCGGCGAGGAAGCCTGTGAGACTTCCGCTACGGCTGCGGCCGCGCTGTGGCGTTGATGCACCATCGTGACTGCTGGCACGACCGAAAAAGGAGCCGGACCTGCCCAGACGTGAGGAGCCCGAGCTTGGACGGTCTGCGACGTGGCGTGCGGCAGCGCTAGGTGTTGCTATGAAGGGATGAGTAGGTTGACCCTGGCCTATTTGAGTGCTGTGGTAACGCTTGATGGCAGGGTCGAAAGAAGCGTCGGTGGAACTACCTGTCGAGGCTTCGCCTGCCTTGGCAGGGGTGGAATTGGCGTTTCCCATGGTTGCACGTCAAGCGATGGATATGATGGGTAGCGAGGACCGAGTGACGATGACGACGAGGACCTGTGAGTGGGATCGACGGCTATCGGCTTGCGCTTTGGCCAGGTTGGCTGGGAATCAAAGAGGTGCTGATCGTGCGGATCGGGTAGCAAAGACGAGGCAGAACGGAGGGTCGTCGGCAATGTGAAGGGTATCGGTGGATGCAATGGGATCGAGATGAAGGCCCGCCTGCTGCTCGATGAATTGGAGATGCTTAGAAGTCCATGGCCGGTCCAGAGCTAGGCTCTGTCACAAAGGTAGCAAGAAGGGATGAGTTGCGTCGCAACACATGGATGTTTGGACGATAGGGAGCTTGAGACCGCAATCGTAGGGTGTGATTGCGAGTTGCTGCTGTTGAGGATTAGTTCCGCTGTATTCGAGACGAGCTGCTGGCGAGGGCGGGCTGGGAGATGCGGATGTGCTGCGGTGGCCGAACAGCGAACAGGCGGGGGGAAGGGGGGGGGGCCGCTCTCGGCAGTTGAAACGAGGCGAGATCGAGGAGAAGCTCGTACGCAGGAAGTCGGAAGTGAAGATGAGCTAGTTCTGGGCCAGGGCTGAGGCAAGCGTGCGAAGGCGAAAGGGGGATCAAAGTTGGTGGAGAAGCATCAAGGTTGATGGAAGGCGGTCGGTGCGAAGGTACGATGCGAGGCAGACGAGGCCGAACGAGGCGCAGCTGCAACGCGGGAGAATCGAGGCAGCAGCCGGCAGCCGCAGGCAGAAGCAGGCAGCAATCAACTGCAGCAGCAGCAGCAGCAGCAGCGCCTTGGCCAACGCTCAGTCCCATCAGGCACTCACGAGGCTTTGCAGCTGATGGTCTGCACGCTGCACGGTCTCAGCGCTGCTGTCGGCCATATTATTTTGGCTGAATTTACTGCCAAAGTTGGATTTGAACCGCCCTTTTTCTCGGTGCAGTGCAGCCAAAGGTGACATGCATCATAGCGCCGCACCACTCCACAGCAGTGCAGCAGTGTGCAGCAGCCGCAGTGCAACAGGTGTGGGAC